TGTATCACTTCAACTCAATGTCAATGGGCAGGAAAGTATCATAGTGATCCAAAATCCTCAATTCCTAGCACAACTAGTATCCGAGGGTCTACACCTAGCAATGAGCAATTACACGAACCACATTTGGGTAAACAACATAATGCAACCACTAGCACCGGGAATGAACAACAATTTGATCCAAGCAATGCGTGCACAGTGGAATCTACCACCACACTACAACCAAAATCCATATCTACCTCAAAACATGGGGTTAGATCTTCCCTTTTTTCCTCCCCAAGAGATCACTGCTCTCAACCCAATCCTAATGATTTAGGATACACTTTTGAACAACATGTAACCACAAATTTCGGTGAACCTAGGACCAATGGACCAACAAGTTCCACAACCTCAAATGCCTCAAAATTTGGGAAACCCAATGGAGGAGGTAAAAGAAGAGGAAATCAACCTAGTGGGGGAATTTATGGTAGAATCCACAAACCTGGACGAAGTAAAAGTTTATCTATTCGAGGAGATGCGAGAGAAGAGGCTTATTCTAGCCTGTGCAACTTCACTGTTCAAGTACACCATGGACATGCGACCACCCCAAGATCCAATTGTCACGACCCAAAATCCAACTAGTGATGGCACCTAACCCAACCCGCTAGGTAAGCCAACTTTCAACTATCCAATTCCAATAATAATTATTTAAAGTAATTTAAGTGAATAAACATCTTAATCTTATACATCCCCCAAGAACTGGTAGTACAAATCATGAGCTTCTAAGAATAGAGTATACAAAGCGAAAATGAAATAAATACATAGTCTGTTTGAATAATACATAAACAAAGCTTTTATAAATCTAAGGCTACCCTGAACAAAAGGCAGCTACAACAGGAACGCAGGTACATCTTCAAGTCCCGCAACTATTGAGCACAACAACAACAGCAGCCAACATCTGCACGCAATGTGCAGAACTGTAGTATCAGTACAACCGACCACATGTACTGAGTAAGTAACAAACCTAGCCGTAGGTTGAAAGTAGTGACGAGCTTCTACCAAGTCGGGTCCAAAACCAATAGTCCACATCCATAACAACATAAAGCAAATAATATCAGAAATAACTCAGGGATAAAATACTCAGCCAAATAATGATTTCAAAAATTATAGTTCTTCCTTTCAAAAATCTCAGTGAAAACCCATATCGTTTGTCGAAGTTTCCAATAATATAAATAGTTTGAAAACAATAAATTTCTTCCAAAATCTTGTCAATAATAAATAAGATGTTTCATTT